ATGACATAGAGACCAAAAAAACAATACAGAAAATCAATGAAACCAAGAGCTGGTTCTTTGAAAGGATAAACAAGATTGACAAACCTCTAGCCAGACTCACCAAGAAGCAAAGAGAGAGGACCCAAATAAACAAAATCAGAAACGATAGAGGTGAAATAACAACAGACCCCACAGAAATACAAATGATTGTTAAAAAATACTATGGACAGCTCTACTCCAACAAACTAGACAACCTGGAGGAAATGGACAAATTCCTAGAAAAATACAACATTCCAAAACTCAATCAGGAAGAATCTAAAAATCTCAACAGGCCAATAACTATGGAAGAAATTGAAGCAGTCATCAAAAAGCTTCCATCAAACAAAAGCCCAGGACCAGACGGCTTCACAGGGGAGTTTTACCAAACATTCAAGGAAGAACTAAAACCTATCCTCCTCAGACTACTACAAAAAATTCAAGAGGAAGGAACACTTCCAAGCTCATTCTATGAAGCCAGCATCACCCTAATACCAAAACCAGGTAAAGACAACACAATGAAAGAGAATTACAGGCCAATATCCCTCATGAACATAGATGCCAAAATCCTCAACAAAATCTTAGCAAATCGGATCCAGCAGTACATCAGAAAGATCATACACCATGACCAAGTACGATTTATCCCAGGGATGCAAGGATGGTACAATATCCGCAAATCAATAAACGTGATACATCACATAAACAAACTGAAAGAAAAAAACCACATGGTCATATCAATTGATGCAGAAAAAGCATTCGACAAAATTCAACACCCATTTTTGATAAAAGCTCTCAGCAAGGTGGGAGTAGAAGGATCATACCTCAACATAATAAAAGCCATATATGACAGGCCCACAGCCAACATCATACTCAATGGACAAAAACTAACACCATTTCCCCTAAGAACAGGAACAAGACAGGGATGCCCCCTCTCACCACTCCTGTTCAACATAGTACTGGAAGTGTTAGCCATTGCAATTCGGCAAGAAGAAGAAATAAAAGGCATCCAAATTGGAAAAGAGGAAGTAAAACTGTCCTTATTTGCAGACGACATGATATTATACATACAAAACCCTAGAGACTCCATCAAAAAGCTACTGGACTTAATACATGAATTTGGCAATGTAGCAGGATACAAAATTAACCCCAAGAAATCCGAGGCATTTCTATATACCAATAGTGAACTTTCAGAAAGAGAGATTATAAAAACAATCCCGTTTACCATCGCACCAAAAAAATTAAGCTACCTAGGAATAAACTTAACTAAAGAGGTAAAAGACCTCTACTCAGAAAACTACAGGACGTTGAAAAAAGATATAGAGGAAGACATAAACAGATGGAAGAACATACCGTGTTCATGGATTGGTAGAATCAACATCATTAAAATGTCCATACTACCCAAAGCAATCTATAAATTCAACGCACTTCCCATTAAAATACCAACGGCATACTTCAGAGATCTAGAACGAACTCTCCAAAAATTCATCTGGAATAAAAAAAGACCCCGAATAGCTGCAGCAATCCTGAAAAAGACCAAAGTAGGTGGGATCTCAATACCAGATATCAAGATGTATTACAAAGCCACTGTTCTCAAAACTGCCTGGTACTGGCACAAGAATAGGCATATAGATCAATGGAATAGAATAGAGAGCCCAGAAATCGGCCCGAACCAATATGCTCAATTAATATTTGACAAAGGAGGCAAGAACATACAATGGAGCCAAGATAGTCTCTTCAATAAATGGTGTTGGGAAAATTGGACAGATATATGCAATAAAATGAAACTAGACCACCAACTTACCCCATACACAAAAATAAACTCAAAATGGATAAAGGACTTAAATGTACGACAGGAAACCATAAAAATTCTAGAAGATTCCAAAGGCAACAAAATCTCAGACATATGCCGAAGCAATTTCTTCACTGATACAGCTCCTAGGGCACTTGAAACGAAAGAGAAAATGAACAAATGGGACTACATCAAAATAAAAAGCTTCTGCACAGCAAAAGAAACCATCAACAAAACAACGAGAAAACCCACTGTGTGGGAAAACATATTTGCCAATGTCATATCTGATAAGGGCCTAATCTCCAAAATTTATAGGGAACTCATACAACTTAACAAAAGGAAGATAAACAATCCAATCAAAAAATGGGCAAAGGACCTAAATAGACACCTTTCAAAGGAGGACATTCAGAAAGCCAAGAGACATATGAAAACATGCTCAAAGTCACTAATCATCCGAGAGATGCAAATCAAAACAACAATGAGGTACCATCTCACACCTGTCAGACTGGCTATCATCAACAAATCAACAAACGACAAGTGCTGGAGAGGATGTGGAGAAAAAGGAACACTTGTGCACTGCTGGTGGGAATGCAGACTGGTGCAGCCACTATGGAAGACAGTATGGAGTTTCCTTAAAAAACTGAAAATGGAACTCCCATTTGACCCTGTGATCCCTCTTCTAGGAATATATCCCAAGAAACCAGAAACACCAATCAGAAAGGATATATGCACCCCTATGTTCATAGCAGCACAATTCACCATAGCTAAGATCTGGAAACAGCCTAAGTGCCCATCAGTAGATGAATGGATTAGAAAACTGTGGTACATCTACACGATGGAATACTATGCTGCTCTAAAAAGGAAGGAACTCTTACCATTTGCAACGTCATGGATGGAACTGGAGAGCATTATGCTAAGTGAAATAAGCCAGTCAATGAAGGAAAAATACCACATGATCTCACTCATTCATGGATAATAGAGACCATTATAAACTTTTGAACAATAATAGATACAGAGGCAGGGCTGCCTCAAACAGATTGTCAAACTGCAGCAGGAAGGCCGGGGAGGGTTGGGGGGCAGGAGGTAGGGGGGTAAGAGATCAACTAAAGGACTTGTATGCATGCATATAAGCATAACCAGTGGACATAAGACATTGGGGGGTAGGGGAGGCTAGGGGACTGTCTAGGGCTGGGGGATAAAATGGACACATATGTAATACCCTTTGTAATACTTTAAGCAATAAAAAAAAAAAAAAAAAAGATTCTCTCTTTGTCGTGTACATATGCCATCATTATTATGACGTGTCTTGGTGTGGGTCTTTTGGGGTTCATCTTGGTTGGGACTCTCTGTACTTGTGTAACTTTTTTCTTCCCCATATCTGGGAAGTTTTCTGTCATTATTTCTTCAAATAGATTTTCTAATCCTTGCTGTTCTTCTTGTCTTACTGGCAGCCCTATTATCCGTATGTTATTTTGTTTTATGTTCTCCCAAAACTCCCTTAGGCTCTCCTGCTGTTTAATTTTTTTTCTCCAGTTGCTGTTCAGATTGAGCTTGTTTCTCTACCTTATCTTCTAACTCACTAATTTGGTCCTCTGCTTCTTCTAGTCTATTGTTGAAACCTTCCATGGTGTTTTTGATTGTAGCTATATCACTTTTCATTTCTTCCTGATTCTTGGATAGGTTGTTGATTTTCTCATCCATTCGGTAAATAAATTGTACAACTATTACTCTGAATTCTTTTTCTGTCATGTTTCATGCTTCAATTTCACTAATTTCCTTTCTTGGCGACTCATTTTCTTTCCTCTGGGGATTGTGTTGTCTCCCCATTCTGACTACATCAGGAAGATTCAAACTTCGAATTGCGTGGGCCTGGGCCGTGTGCAGTGGGAGCTTCACACCACGCTAGTGTCACTGAAGAGCTCTCACACTAAGATGTGTGGTTGTCGTGGGTTGGTGGGAACCAGGCTTGCTGAGATTCAGCATTACCAGCGCTCAGTGTGGCCTCGTGCGTGCACTTAGATTCATGGACCCTGCCTGCACCGTGCTGAAACAGAGACCCCCCTGGAGAGTGTTGAAAATCAAATTCCCCTAGCGTGTGCCAGGAATCAGAGTTACCCAAGAATCCAGTATCAGAGTCTCTGCTGCTTTGTGCAGCCTTGCATTGAGAATCAGGGTCCCTGTTTGTGCATGCACCAAGAATTGGAGTCACTGGCTCTTAGTGTGAATGCACTGGGAATTTGGGATCCTAGGCACAGGTGATAAGAAACAGAGTCAAGTCACTGGTACTTAGCGCTGCCTCCTGCCAGGAGAATTGGGGTCCCGGAGCCCCTGCTGCGGGGAACAAGCCCCCAGTGTTCGCAGGCTTCCAGGCTAAGTTTCCTGTACCCTGTGCTGCGGGGAACAAGTTCCTAGTGTTCGCATGCTTCCAGGCTAAGACTCCTGTAGCAGCACTGAGGTGCGGGCGAGTGATGGCTCTATCAGTTACTATGGCACCTCCTGTGAACCTGCAGGAAGGGGGATGGACTCTGTTAATCACAGAGGTCTGCCGCCGGGATGTCTGGATTCTTGGTGTCTGTGGGTCTGAAGCTGTGGTCACAGGTCTCTGTCCCCAGTGGCTGCAGGGTCCTGGTTTGCATCTGAGACCAGACTGAGTGGTGCTGAGGCCAGGATCTTAGTCTCAGGCAGCTCTGTTTCTCAAGATGGCATGGTCTCTGTGCCCGCACTGGCTGTCCAGGAGTGTCCGCGCTGGGAGCGGGGCTCTGCCGTCTAAGACTGCCTGGTTTAGCAGCCCCTTAGAAGACCTGCAGAATCTAACTGTCCCTAGCTCATACACACACACACACCACACACATCCACACACTCCTCTATCACTCCCTCACACTCTCACACTCTCTCCCTCCCAACATTCCTGCTGGTCGCCACCTTCTCCCTTCGACGTGCCTAGGCTTTTATTATATAGGATAGTAAAGGTCCAGCTTATTAGGGTAATTTTAACCAATAGAGCTTTTTTATTTGTCCTTTTCTATCTTTTCTCACCCACAAAATCTGATTAATAAAGTCTGTTAGAAATGTTGTGTCATCTGGAATGTACCACAGTAACAGTAGATTTGCACTTTTCAGAGATGAAACTAGGTGAATGCTATTCCACCTTCCTTTAGTCTTGACAGTGAGAGTAATGACCGGGAAGTGGACTTACGGGGTCCATTGACTTGGATGCCTCCTGAAAGAGTTTTGACTTTGGACTTGCTAAAGATGTAGGAACAGAAGTCAGCAGTTTCTTTCACGAATTCGGGGTCCAGTTCATCATCATGCATTGTCTCAAGTTGGCGTAGCTTCTTCCAATGAGTGGGCTGATGAAAGATAAAGCATTTCTTCTTTGGGAAGAACTTTCGGATACAAAGTCGGGGCTGGTTAAAATTTTTATCTTTAGGACTGGTACCTGGAGAAAGATAAAAAAGGGCTTGCTTAATATAGGGGCTTAGAAATTTTTTCTGTAAACGGTCAAATGGTAAATATATTAGGCTTTGCAGGTCAGGTGGTTTGTTTTCCAAGTATTCAGTTCTGCTATTACAGCATGAAAGCAGCCATGGACATTCTGCTATTACAGCATGAAAGCAGCCATGGACAATCTACATAGTATTCATCCAGTAAAACCTATTTTTAAGATAGCTGGCAGGCTGCATTGGCCATCATTTGCCTGTGGGCCATAGTTTGCAAAGCCCTGGCCTAGTGCGTTGTTAAGCTTTAATCTATTTTCTTTAAATAAATGCCCATTCTACTCCATATTCTTTGGCTAATTACAGCATCACAAGCCTTAGCCAGGAAGATAAAAATCAATCAGATCACAGTGCAGGGAAGGTGAAAGAAAAAGAAACTTGTCCTTGGAAGAGGGGAGAAGATAATTCAAAATCAAATCTATGAACTTAGATATTAAACAAGCATTAATTCTTAGAACTAGGCAGCTGAGAAGAAGTAGAAAACTATACATGTAAAAACACTAAATCTATACTAATAAAAGGGTAATATGCTAATTAGACTGGGAGACCTTCCAGGAGACTGGCCAGGAAGGGCAGTTGAGGGCCATGAGGCCAGCAGGGGAGGGCAGCTGGGGGCCATGAGGCTGGCCAGGAGGGTATTTGGGGCCATGTGACCGGCAGGGGAGGGCAGTTGAGGGCCATGAGGCCAGCATGTAGAGTGGTTAGGGGCAATCAGTAGGCAGACAGGTGAGCAGTTAGGAGCCAGCAGTCCCAGATTGTGAGAGGGATGTCCGACTGCCAGTTTAGGCCCGATCAAACAGAGCCTAAACTGGCAGTCAGACATCCCCTGAGGGGTCCTAGATTAGAGAGGGTGCAGGCTGGGCTGAGGGACACCCCCCCACCCCTTAACCCCCCACACCCTGTGCATGAATTTCGTGCATCGGGCCACTAGTAGAAAAATAAAAGATGATGGTTGCTAATGCCTTGTGATTCCCAATAATCAGTTCCTAGTCCCCTTTACCTTTTCTGAGTTTGAGTGAAATCTGCAGGTACTCGTCTGCTGAGATGGGTTGCCCATCTGCTTCCAATTCTAGGGAAAAATCCCTCAGTGTCCACACAAAAGCTGGAAAGAAGCTCACAAAGTCAGCTGAATCTTCAACCTCATGTGCATCAGGTGAAGATTTCGCTCTTATTTTATCTGTTAGCTCTGTCACATAGCTGAGTAGCAAACTAAGGAAAATGGTGTAAAAGTACAGTACCCCTCATCCCATATTAGTCCCACATATTCCAAACTTTTGTTTTGGCTTTGCTTCTAACTCAAGTGTTAATTCTTCCTGCCCTTGAATTATTTTTCATACTTTCTCTTTTTGTGCTTGATTCACCAGGATTCACATTCAGGGTACTGGTTTTTAAATACTAGTCTCCCCTCTGATTTGATGCTGTTCTGGACCACAAAAAGGATACTGCAGTTGGTCCATGGCCTGCTGGTTTATGGTCCCCATGCTATTGTACACAAAGGTGCTGCTCAGCAGTATTGCCAGGGCAAAGATCCAGGAGTCATTTTGGTTGTCACCCTGGAAATCAGAACACATTTTGGTCAGGATTATGTTTTATTCTCATGGCACTTTCTAGATCAGCAGTAGTAAACAGATGTTCATTTAGTTGAGTGGCCTTTTTTTTTATATTAACATCTTATAAGAGAAAAACAAATCCAAATGAAAATGATTGTTAGTAGGACTTGTACTTTGAATAGTCTTCTGATTAGTGTTTTTGGTTACACTGATTCTCACTAGGTCCCCTTATGACCATTGACAGATAATTGCAAAGCAAACAGTCCAGATTGGTGGGCACTCTAAAGTCTTAAATGTAATTTAATTTTCTCTATGTTTTTGCAGCAAAATTGACTTATGTAACAGTAATAATAGTTATAGCTATTTTATCTAGCCATTATTATTCACTTAACACTTTCCATTTTTATTAAATAGTCAAAATGACACTATGAGACAAATATAGACCGTTTGCATTGGTTTTACAGTTCAGAAAGCTGAGGTTAAAAGAAGTGAAATAATTTGCTAAGGCCACTGTGTTAATAACAGAGTTTAAATTTAAACTTCAGTTTAGGAATTCTGAACATTAATCCTTAACTAAAGTTCTCTGCAGGATAGGACTCATGGCTGATTTTGTTTGTGGTACCTTTATGCATCAGTGTTAACTGGCTTAGCTTATAGCTGCTTGTTAATAATTAGAATATTATCTAATGAGCACTATGCTCTTCTAGGATTCTGCCTTATGTTTTCATCATCCCTGATTGCAAAACTTGGTCTCTTAACACATAAACAGAAATGAAAAAGACACTTAAGGTTTACTGCCAGCTCTTATTTGAATAAAAATTAAAATAATAATAATAAAATTTTTAAAAAATAAAAATAAAAAGTATTAAATAGTGTAGAGAATACCCAGAAATGAAGGGATTGTTCCCAAATTGAATCTTCAATACTTACCTTCTCTACATCTCCCAGCCCCTCAGTGTCAAGCAGAACTAGGGTGTAGTTTGGTTTCTTAGGGTGAGGCACACACCACATCCAGATGCCTTTGGTGTGAGACTGAACTGTGGAGCCCATAGAAAAGCCTTCGGGGGGAGAGGAGAGAGAGAGGGAGTGGAGTTTTTATAGCAGATGTGTCTTAAAATGGAGATAAACATGAACATAATCAAGGTTACAGGAGACCACAGCCAGTAGCTTGGCTGGCATGGCTCAGAGGTTGAGCGTCGACCTAAGAACAAGGAGATCATGGTTCGACTACGGGGCAGGGCACATGCCCTGGTTATGGGCGCCATCCCCAGTTGGGATGAGCAGGAGGCAGCCAATCAATGATTCTCTCTTATCACTGATGTTTCCAACTCTCTCTTCCTCTCCAAAATCAAAAATACATCGAAAGAAACCCCAACTACAATCAGTATTGATTTTTACAGAGAAACAGGGAAATTCCAATATCCAATACATAAAAACATTAAACAACTTTTATTATAAAAACATTAACATATTAGGACTAGAAGTAAACTAACTCAACGTAATAAAAGCCATATATGAAAATCCTTCAGCCAGCATTACACTCAATGGTGCAAGATAGAAAGCTTTCCTTCTACAAAATTACCCAAATGAGTTCAAAGACCTACATGTAAGAGCTAAAACTATAAAATTCATAGAAGTAAACATAGGGGGAAAGTTTCTTAATATTGAATTTGGAATGATTTCTTGGATATGACACCAAAAGCCTAAATAACAAAAAAAAAATAGATAAGTTGGATTCAAAATGAAAACTTTTTGGGTCAAAGGATACTATTGACAGAGTTTCAAAGGAATCCTATGGAACGGGGGAAAATATTTCTCAGTTAAGGGATTGGTATCCAGAATATATAAAGAAGTCCTGCAATGCAACCCCAGAATACAAAAAAAACCAATTAAAAAATTGAGCCAAGGACTTAAATAGACATTTCCTTAATGAAAATACGCAAATAACCAATAAACACATAACAAGATAATTAACAGCACTAGCTATCGAGTAAATACAAATCAAAAGCACACTGATATACTATTTCACAACCATTAGGATGATCACTATCAAAAAATCAAAATAACAGCCTGGCCAGTGTGGCTGGTGGTTGAGTACTGACCTATGAACCAGGAGGTTATGGTTCAATTCCCAGCCTGTGTTTGCAGCAAGCTTGATCCCCAGTGTGGGTTGTGCATGAGGCAGACTATCAATGATTCTCTCACATTATTAATCTCTCTCTCTCTCTCTCTCTCTCTCCTTACTCTCTCTCTCTCTCTCCCCCTCCCTGTCTGAAGTCAATAAAAACAAAAAAACAACAACAAAAACCACCACACACACAACCAAATAAAAGTTATTGGCAAGATTGTGGAGAAATTAGAATCCTGGAAAATGGTAGAGTTGCTGTGGGACATGATATGGCGATTCTTTAAAAAATTAAACATAGAATTCTAGGAAAAGAATATAAATTATGCTTTTAAAAGGGAAATTAAGGAAAGTGTGAAGAGACAGTGAGTTGACTCTTTGAGACCACAGTAAAATAAGAGCATAATGGTAGATTAAAAGCTCGCTTTCAAAATTCCTCCCGATCTCTACCTTGCTCTTCCTGTAGCACCATACTCAAAGCTGGGAGTGTGGGTAGACAAAAGGGATCTGGCATAGTTTAGCTGGTGCCCCTCACCTTTTTGCTGCCCAGCCAGCTTGTTCATCAGGTAGGATTTGCCTGTGCGGTAGAGACCCACAATGGCCACCACCACAACAGGCTGTGTAATGGCAGACAAGATCTTCAAAGCTTCTGGATTAACCACTAGTTGAGTGTTAGTGTTCTCAATGAGGCACACCGGGCCTGGCATGTGGATGTCTGAGGCCATGTCCAGGGTGTCACCTTATCTGCAAGCAAGGGGATGGGATGGATTAGAATTTCCAGTCTAAGTAGATCAAGAACTTTCACCAGGTTATTTTGATCCAGAAGGTAGAGTCATAAAATTCCCTGTGGCAAAAAGTTCTGTCAGTAGTGAGATGGATGAGGGAAAGATTTGGTTTCTTTTAGCAAATGATAGAAGTGCAATTGAAGGAGTCCATTAAAAAACTATTGGTATGACAAGGACATGAACATTTAACCACTTACATGAACAAAATTTTTAATTTACCATAGAAAACTTCTTTTTAGATTCGCATTAAAATTTTCACACTAGAACACGGTTGGTGTGACTCCATGGTTGAGCGAGGTCCTATGAACCAGTAGGTCAGAGCTCAATTCCAGGTGAGGGTACATGCCTGGGTTGCAGGCTTGTCCCCAGTAGGAGCTGCATAGGAGGCAGCCAATCAATGTTTCTCTCTCATTATTTATGTTAGCATCTCTCTATCTCCCTCCCTCTCTCTAAAAATCAATGAAAATATATAAAAAGATTTATTTTCTGTACATTAAATATAAAATAGAATAGGGTTTAGAGAGTAGTTTACATCCAGCCATGTATAAGAAATTTAATATTTATTTGTTAATTAATTCTACTATGAATACCAACTTTTGGGAATAAATGTTTCATCATTAGATGTATGCTCTTTGGATAATTTTCATAGTTTTTTTTTTGTTGTTGTTAATCCTCACTGGAGAATATTTTCCATTGATTTTTAGGGAGAGTGGTGGTGGTGTGTGTGTGGGGTGAGACAGAGAGAGAGAAACATCTATGTGAATCATATACTTGGTTTGATTGTCTCTTGTACTTGCCCCTACCTCAGCCATTCAATCCACCCTTCATCCAAGGGTCGACAATCTAAATACTGTGCAAAATCAGGCAGGGCATTTTTCACAGATTTGAAATGTGTGTTTTTTCTACTAGTTGTGCTTATTTTGTAGAAGTGAGGGTTCACAGAACTGTTTATACTGTTATTCGGGAAGCGGAACCAATATAACTTACATTTGCAAATTTTATATATATGTATGACTATAGGAAAAACAGGACTAGAGACTTGCCCAAAGCCTTGATATGGGCTTGTGCAAGCAAGGGGCCCTATACTTCAACTTCATTAGCTTCACAAAAAATTAGCCTCCAACTAAAAGGGGGTAAGACTGCACACAAATACTGAATGTTGCCAAAAACCATGTTTGTGTATATTTGTGGGTGGTGTAAGGGAACAAAAGACTATGAAATATGAATTAAAAGATCAGGAGGCAGATCAAGGGAGCCTATGTTTTTCAGTGAAAATATATTTCTAGTCATACACTTGTAGGCATTCTGTTTTGTTCTATTTTTCTATTAGGTTCAGGAGAAGGAGAAACAAGAAGACAAGAGGGGAGAAAACTGGGGAGAGAGAGGGAGAGGAAGAGCTGTAAGGAGAGAGAGAGAGAGAGAGGGGGTTGTCTGAGAAGCAGGTGATGAGTAAAGTTCATGCCAAGCCAAGGAATTCAGAAGCAGTTTCGAGAAAGCAAGAGCAAACCTGCTTGCAAGCACAGAGAGGTCAGGTATACAAAATGTTGGCTTTAGTGATGCAGATTTCTTTTTTTTTTTTTAAATATATTTTATTGATTTTTTACAGAGAAGAAGGAAGAGAGATAGTTAGAAACATCGATGAGAGAGAAACATCGATCAGCTGCCTCCTGTATACCTCCTACTGGGGATGTGCCCACAACCCAGGTACATGCCCTTGACCGGAATCAAACCTGGGACCTTTCAGTCCGCAGGCTGACGCTCTATCCACTGAGCCAAACCAGTTTCGGCGATGCAGATTTCTTAAAGAGAAAACTTTTTAGTACAGTAGTGGGGCCGAATTCTACTTGTAAGGGGTCAGAAAGAAGTTGGCCCTAAGAAATTGGATCTGGTTGATTGGAACTATTTTTTGTTTTATTTTATTTTAAAAAAATTGTCATTTTAAAATTACAGTTGACAATTAATATTATATGAGTTTCAGTGTACTACATAGTTGTTAGACATTTGTATACCTTAAAAGGATCTCTTCTATGGGTCTACATGTCAGCATACATAATTATAACAATACCTGAGGTCCAGTGCACGAATTTGTGCATGGCTGGTGTCCCTCAGCCTGGCAGGCAATCAGGACCAATCAGAGAGTCTCACTCAGTCCTGATTGGGGCCAATTGGAGCTGGCTGGTCCAGCTAGGGGCCTGGGAGGTTAGCCGGATTGGGGTGGAGGGGCTGCAGGAGGTTGGCTGGCTGGGGTAGGGGTCATGGGAGGTTGGCAGATGTTGGGGGCGGGGCTGTAGGAGGTTGGCCGCCCAGCCGGGGGAGGGGGAACAGGAGGTTGGTAAGCTGCAGGAGGTGGGCTGGTGGAGCACACTGACCACCAGGGGGCATCTCCTGCATTTTGCCTCTGCCCCATGGTGGTCACAGCACATCATAGCAACTAGTTGTTTTACTTGTTCTGCTGTAATGGTTGCTTAGGCTTTTATTATGTGGATTATTGGTCAGGTGTATGAAATTAGTACACATAAAAAAGGGGATTAATTAGAGAAAATATTTTAATATTGCTATTTTCCCTTTATCTATAATAGAAGTGTCAGAGATGAAAGAAAATTAGTAAAATGTATATGAAAATCTTCCCTCTATCAGAGTCTGGGGCACGCCATCAGACCCAGAGCCAAGTCCCTGCCACACTGTGGCACCTCAAAATTGCACGAGAAAAAGATCCAGCCGGCCCCACACCCATTGGGTAAGATCCAGACCCAGCTAACCCCATCCTTGTCAAAGCTGGGCAGGGGGTGCATGCTCAGGTCCCCTGGCCCATCTCTGGGCAGGGGGGTGCAGCCTCAGGGCCTCCATCAAGCCCTGTAGCATGGGGGCTCAGCCTCAAGTCCCCCATCAACCCCTGCCAGGCAGGAGGAGCAGCCTCAGATCCTCCAGCACACCCTCAGGTCCCCCGGCCTGGTGCTAGGGTGGGGGGCATGGCCTGATGTCCCCTGTCAAGCCCCGGTGGGCAGGAGCATGGCCTGAGGTCCCTGGCCCAGTGCCAGAGCAGAGGGCATGACCTTAGGTCCCCAAGCCTGGTGCTGGGGCAGAGGGCACACCTTGAGGTCCCCCGTCAAGCCCCACTGGGTGGGGGCCACAGCCTGATGTCACCTGTCAATCCCTGCCGGGCAGGGGCACAGCCTCAGGTCTCCCATCAAAGCCCTGCCGGGCGGGGGGCAAGTCCTCAGGTCCCCCGGCCTGTCGCTGGGTGGAGGAGCACAGCCTGAGGTCCCCCGTCATGCTTCACTGGACAGGGGGGTGCAGCCTCAGATCCGTTATGGGAATGCAGCCTCCACTGTGAGTATAGCCATCTTGTGTTACAGAAACCCTGTCTTCGCCTTGGGCACCCACGTCTTTGTGATGGCATGATGGTCAATTTGCATATTCCCTCTTTATTATATAGGATTATTGGCTATATTCCCTAGGCTTTACTTTATATCCCTGTGACTGTTATAACTGCCAATTTGTATTTCTTAATCTCTTCCCCATTTTCACCCAGCCCCTATCCTTCTTCACATCCAGCAAACAGAACCTGAGTTACTTTTAAGTGAGTCATCCACTTTGAAACCAAGCTCATCTATATGACTAAAATGTATGGTGTTTTTGTGAATCTTCATTTTTCACTCTGAGTTTCAGGTATTTTTTTCTTCTTTTTTAACAGTGTCAGGTGGCTGTTTATGCTGCATCTCATTTTCTATGCTTCTTTCTCATGAAAATAACATATCTGTAGCCCTTTCATTGTGTCAGCTTCAGACAGATCAGAATTGTGCAAGTTCCATTAAGACAATGGTAATTTAACTGTGTCTGCAGCCAGCACAATATTGGCCGAAAGAGAAAGACAATAATGCATTTCAAACTCTGAGCTTAGCCCCATGTCTGCTGCTGCCTAATTCCTCCAAGCACAGTAGTGACACTTAGGGATGTGCTGCCACCTGATATCATGGGGAGTACACCTCACCCCCTGTCCCACGCGGGCTCTGCTGCAACCTATCTTCATGCTCATGTTCTTTGGAAAATGAACTGACCCTTATAAATCCCTCCCACCCTGCCCCAACCTAACCCTGGACTCCATTTCTCAGAGCACAGTTCCTTTAGAGGTGGAGAGAAAGCTGCTTTGATGAGAAAATAAAGTTCTTACCTGTTTTTCCCCCTCAGTGTCAGTTGGAGTGGTTTGTTCCTTCTCTGCCTTTCACTGGATGATTGGGCTTTTATTTAAACTCCGATGTGACGTGACTGTCCTGAGTCCCTAAAGTACTTAGTTAGAAATGAAGGCTTTAGAGTAATGTGAACCTGAAAGCACTGAGTGAAAAGCAGTGACTCAACAACCATAAAAGGAATCTCTGCAAGCTATGCAAACAGGAGGGTACATGGACTTTACAGGATTTCATAACTAGTTCATGATAAGCCAGCAGAGGACATTTGGCTCAGGTGGACTAGAAAGTCCCAAAAGAGAAAGTGGCCCCAGCCTCATTTCATGGAACAACCTGTGGACACCCTATCTGGCTCAATAGGAGGTAGTCACACTGACTGTTAGACAGCAGGCCAAGGATAACAAGGGCAGTTTCATCCCACAGCTACAATGGCCAGCACTAATCAGGTTAAAGGACAAAGGACTCCAGCTAATCAGACTAGACCTCTTATATCCCCCAGCCTCTGCCCCTTGTGCTTTGCACATAAAATTCAACCCCAAGGACAGTGGATACTGAGTGCTAACCTTCACTGATTGTGGCTCCATCCCCTCATTCCCTCTAATAAACTTTCTTCCTGCTTGCTTGCTGTGTCTGCCTAATTCCTTGAGTGACTCTCATTTTACAGTTCAATTTGACAAAAGCTCCATTGCTGGTTCCTGGTGGGTGTGGTCAATAAGATGTGGCTCCCTCTTCCCTCTTTCAAGTAGGTTATGGTATGCAGCTGGGAGAGGCAGGCCACCAGTATTTCTCATCACC